TCTGCGGGGTATGCTGACCTGGCACAGGGTGGTTCACAGAGGGCTCGTAAGGAGCACAGCAGAATCATCAGAAGATGTGATTCTCGGTCTCAAATCCAAGCTGAGATCATTCATACTTTGGAAGGGAAACTGGCCCTTGCTCAGAACGAGGCTCTGGTGGCAGAGGTGCTAAAGTCCAGGAGCATCTGACATGGAGCCGGGCTGCCAATGAGCAAGGAGACCAAGCTACCATACCAACGTCTCCCAGGAAGTTACACAGTGGACTTTGTTTAAAAGTGATGTCTGGGGCTGGAGAGATGGCTCAGTGGTTAAGAGCACTGGCTGCTCTTGCAGAGGACCCAGGTTTGATTCCCAGCACCAACATGGCAGCTAACAGACATCCGTAATTCCAGTTCCAGGGGATCTGATGCCCTCTTCTGACTTCCACAGGCATTGCATGACACAGGTGCACTTACACACATGCAGGCAATACACTCATACACATAAAATAAAAATAATAAAATATTTTAAGCATCTGTGGTGCCTGAAGAATCAGACACAGCAGAGGCTCTCCTCACAGCTCCTCTGGCTCCTGCCTGCCACACACACTTGATTCTAGTTTATAATGTGCCCCTCCGTGTGTCTTAGTGGTGCTGAGTTTTGAGCAACACATAAACAGAATTGGGGCGTTTGCTAGTGCCTAGGAGCCACCTTCATACAAAGTAATCATGGGCTGAGGGTGTAGCACAGTGTTAGAGCTCTTGCCTGACATGCAGGAGGCCCTGTGTTCCATCCCCAGCACTCCCACCCCAGTCCCCCACACTAACAAAACCCACAGGAATAACAGAATCATTAGCATGCTCTGGTCCTTCTATACTCGGGTGGGGCAGCTGAAGTATCTCACAAAGCAAGTGAAATAAGTTAAATTTGTAAACTCAGTTTTAAATTTTTGAGGGGAATTTAATTAGCAGGATTGTTTATGAGGTTTTCATCACTGGAGTTGATCAAACATGAATCAAAGGGTCCCTTGGAACATGATTTGAAAATTACCAGGTATATGCTAAATAAATAAAATTCAAACATTGAATTTATTTAAGGAAGATGAACTACTTTTGAATATTAACCTCAGTGGAGTCTATATTAAATTTTCAAGGAAGGTGTTTTCTGTGTTCAGCAGCTTCCTGGGGGTGGGGGGAGCCCTCAAACATCTGGCAGGTGGCCAGAGCCAAGGAACCACAGAACCAAAGACCAGGGAAAGCTGCGGTGGAAGTCTGGGACAGTGACCTTGACCCTGTGGTCTCCTGCTCCCCAGCTCCCATTTCCTACTCCCACCACTAGCAAGAGCTGGTTTGGCTACACAGGTGTCAGGTAAGGGAGGCACCTTGAGTAGAGGACCTAGGCTTGGAGGGCATCGACTGTGTTCCAGGCCCACAACTGCCTGGGAACCTTCTAGATATGAAGTGACAGCTGTGTGACAGGCCACAGTAGCCTGGTCCAGCTGCTCCAAGAAGGACCCATGGGAGTCTGCTTAGTGGACACCCTTCCTGGTAAATGAACATTGCTCCAATGAGGAGGATGTAGGGATGGGCAGGCAGGTTCCCTATGCCTGCACGGAGGACAGCCCTTGGCTGCTCTTGTGAAACCATAAAGGAGCCCACACTGGACAGAGCACCGCCCTATCCCCTGGGTCTGACTTCCCTACCAGCAGGCTGACCCTGGAGGGCACCTGGATATTAGAAATCGGATTCAGTCCCAGGAAATGCCATGGGCTGCTGGGGTGGGGGCAGGGATCAACAGAAGGCAGTTAGATGTTTAGCGTGCAATCAATGGAAAGGGGAAAGAGGAAGGAACAGGAAAGGGGGTCTGCCCCTAGGGAGGAGCCAGCCAGCTCCTGTAAGGTCAGCTAGTTTATGGGTGCCTGGTGAAAGGCAGGTGGTCAATTCCTTCCCAGATGCAGCTCCAGAGCTCAGCATGGGGACGTTGTGAGCCAGAGTCAGCATCCTGAGCCAAGGCTCATGCTTCTGCCCTAGTTGTCCCTGTCCCTGCCTAATGCTCCCAGTGCAGCCCCTGGAGGTCTCAGGAGGTAGAAAAGGCAAGCTTTAAGTTAAGCTGTCTAAGCTCACCATGATCAGACACTGCACATCTGTATGTGGGGATCTTTTATTTTAATGTGTGTGGGGGGCTGAGTATGTGCATGGGACTGCAGGTGTCTGCAGAGGCCAGAGTATCAGGTCCCCTGGAGCTGGAGTTTCAGTTGGTTGTGAACTGCCCAACATGGGTACTAAGAACCAAACTCGGGTCCCCTAGAAGAGCAGTAAGCATTTTTTAACCACTGAACCATCTCTCTAGCCTTGACAACCTCACTTTGTCAGATCAGGAGCATGGAGGTCAAAGCTCACTGTGGCCAGAGCTGGGATGGAGGCCCCCTGTGCACCAAGCAAAGGGACTGGGAGATCCCAGTCACCTTGCCCAGCTGCCCTTTTCTCTTAGAAATGGAGTGGACTTAAAGAGACTCATTCCTGAGGAAGTCCCCGGAGTCAAGTGGACATCCATGCGCAGTGGCTCCTACACTCTGTTCCACGCTTCCAGTGACTGTGGACAACAGGGTCCCATCTTCAAAGACAAGAGTCACTTTCTGTTGACAGGACTTCTAAGGCCCCACCCCAGCAGAGGCGAGCCTGTAGAGCAATTTTAGATTCCTGTTTGCCCAAGGGCAGGAGGCTTAAATACAACAAAACAAATAAGACTGTGTAGCCTGAATAAGAGAGCTTGCACAGCCCTGGGTGCAGACCTGGCTTAGGGCTCCATCTAGTGGTGTAACAGAGAACTACTGGGCCAGCCAGTCAAGTCAAAACAGTGATTCTCCTCCACCCTCCTCCGCCAGACCCTCACTTCCATCAGACCCTCCTCCATGATACTCTCAGCTCAATCAGGCCATCCTCTATCAGACCCTCCTCCACCAGACCCTCCTCCATCAGACCCTCACCTCCATCAGAACGCCACTAGACACCATTTCATACCCTGAGATCCTGGGCTGGGAAGTCCAGGACCAAGCTGAGGACTCCTACGAGCACAGACAGAACAGTAGGTCAGGGCTGACCACCTTGGGGAGCCCCAGGACCATCTCTACATCTCAGCATGTTCTGTGGTCCCTCCTCCCCTGTCCCTCAGGACGCAGAGGAGAGGATGGACTTGACAGCCAGACAGGTTTGGCCCCCCCACACACTTGAGAAAACTTCCCTAACTAACATCTCCACGTCTTCAGGCATAAAGTAAGAACTTCATACCCCGAGGCTCCTGAGAAAACAGCCTGTAGGTTCCCTCCACAGACAGGAGGCTGGCGGCTCATCAGTCTGTGAACTGGAGTCTCGAGTTGTGTACTCCCCAACCCTGGGGGGGGGGGGGTAACAACTGCACCAGAGACGTGTAAGAGCCACCCCTTCCTTCTGTTACTTTGTCTTGAGTCCCTTTAACCAAGCCAGCAAGAAGAGGGTTAGAGGGCTGCATTTATAAGAATGCAGGAGAGATGGCTCAGCGGTTAAGAACACTGGTTGTTCTTGCAGAAGGGGTTCAAAGCTCATCACTCACATAGCAGCTAACAATGTCCATAACTCCAGTCCCAGGGGATCTGACAGCCTCTTCTGACCAATGTGGGCATTGCACAACACGGGTACACTTACCTACATGCAGGCAATACATGCATACATGTAAAATAAAAATAATATTTTTAAAAGTTAAAAAATACGAATGCACATGTGTGTCTGATTCACTCCCTCCCTCCTCCTGAGGTTTCCCTGGCTTTACTGCACACACGGGGTCTTCTTCAGAGGGGCTGTGACTAAGGAGAAGGGCTATTGTCTCATACCTTCTGTCCACATCAGAACAAGGACTCAAAAATATTCTTGGGTGGCTAGAGGAGAGGGTGGGTGTGTGGGTGAATGGGTGGCTGGGTAGCTGGATGGATGGATGGGTGGATGGGTGGATGGGTGGATGGATGGATGGATGGATGGTGGGTGGGTGGATGGGTGGAAGGGTGGATGGGTAGATGGGTAGATGAGGAGATAGGCAGAAACATGATAGGTGGGTGGATGGGTGGATGGATGGGTAGATAGATGGGTGGATGGGTGGATGGATGGATAGATGGATGGATGGATGGATGGATGGATGGATGGATGGATAGAAACATGATAGGTGGGTGGATGGGTGGGTGGATGGATGGATGGATGGGTGGATGGATGGGTGGAAGGGTGAATGGATGGATGGGTAGATGAGGAGATAGGCAGAAACATGATAGGTGGGTGGATGGGTGGATGGATGGGTAGATAGATGGGTGGATGGGGGGATGGATGGATAGATGGATGGATGGGTGGATGGATGGGTGGAAGGGTGAATGGATGGATGGGTAGATGAAGAGATAGGCAGAAACGTGATAGGTGGGTGGATGGGTGGATGGACCAGAGCAGGGACACCTCTCAGCATAGTACACTTGTCTCGCTCAACACTCATTGTGGCTTCCACCGTCTCTTGATCTCAGTATCTCCCTCCTACACACAACCATGGGCTCTATGAGGGCTGGGACCCTCTGCCCCTTTTGCCACGATGTTTGCAGCATTGAGCTCAAGGTCCAGTGCACTGTGACCACTTAGGAGGCATTCAGAAAGAACGGTCTAAGGAGTGAGGGTGAGTGAGAAGAGGGAGACCAAGTTCCACTATTTCGGAAAGTACAAGTGGTTGGACACAGAGTATCCACCGAGGCCACACGAAAACTGAAGGTGAGGTCTGAAAGAGCCTTAAACTCAGAGGAGACACCCATCCTGGGGCTCAGCACCTGTGTGTACTAAGCTTCAACGCTCTCTCAAGAACAGTCAGTGGTCGGTGCTGAGCTGAAGTCACAACAGACATGTAACTGGGAGGGGGAGGGGGCACCAGCCTCTCCCCGGTGTGGCTGGCCCAGCACCAGCCCTCGGACATGCTCAGTGAGCCTGTCATGTGAGCTGAGCCTCAAGAATCAGCACAGCCAGTCACGGTCTAGCCAGGAGAAATTTATTGCTCTAATCAACTAGCCGCACATATCCCTGGCTGTCACTCTCACTCCGAGAATATCATAGGACTCAAACCCTCCTTGCCCCAAATGTTCAGTATGAGTGACAACAAATTAATCTCATTAATTAAAAGCTAAGACCCTGTTGTAATTCAGTGTACATTGTTGTAAAACAGTGTGCTTTTAGATGTTAGCTCTCTAATCAACTCTAGTCTGTTTTAAATCAATAAGAAGCAAGGTTTATTAGCATCATAAAATTAAGGAAATTCTAGAATAAAATACCTACATTTCCTCATTGGCTCACTGTTTGACCTTAAGTACACGACTCTCCTAGTGTCTCTCCGCTCTCCTGTGGTGTGGTGGGTACACCATGCCTTCCCCTTCAATGGGATTATGTGGAAAAACAGCTGCAGAAATGACTGGAAACACGGGAGAGTGTTGTCTACACATCATGTGACCTTCACTTTTTTGGAAAGCTTCTCATATTAATCTGGTGTGTTTTGAGTCATGGCTGTGCAAGTGGGAACTACTTCCAACGGCACATAGAGGAGCGTGGACAGGTGCCAGACCAATTAGCAGTGAGTTACCAGATGAACCTGTTTGCAAGGAGCGTCAGAGGCACTGTCAAATGTCTTTGAAGATGTGATGCATTATGTAATTGACAGCATTTGGGTGATGGCTGTCAGTGGGCAAGGGTCACATGGGAAGCTTTGATGGCAAAGGTCAGAAGGCTGGACTACACAGGTGGCTTGGTGACGGAGGAGCCATATTTGTGTTGGGTTTGAAGGTGCAGGCCACCCCCAGCACTCTGCCCACATCTCCAGCGGCTCACCGGCCTGATGGGTGTTGCCCTGCTCTCTCAGTCTCTTGGGGTCACATAGAGGTTGCTGTCATCATGTGCTGCCACAGAGTACTGCCTGATGAAGACTCCTGTCAATCCTTGATGAATCAATCACCAACAGAGCCCTGTGTGAGGAAGGTCCCTGGATCAGTCCACAGATGGGAAAGGAGAAGTTCATAGAAGGGCCCTCTGTGTTCACAGGCCCCACAGTCATAGATTCACCAGCCACATGACAAAGCATCAAAGCATTCTTTAAAAAAAATAAAGTGTCCATAGGGCCAGCAAGGCGGCTCAGCCAGTAAAGGCATCTGCCGCCAAGCCTAACAACCTGAGTTCAATCCCTGGGACCCACATGGCAGAAGGAAAGAATTTTGCAAGCTGTCCTGTAAGTGCCGTGGCGTATCCCACTCCCCCACACAAATAAATAAATGTTAAAAAGTTTAATGCGTCCATACCAAATGATAGACCTCTCACTGGGTCCTCCCTAAACAAGACAGTGTATTTACATCCCATTTGCAATGTCAGGTGTCTTAGGTTTGAAGTACGTAAAGGGATATGCATAGACTACATGGAACTACCTCTGTGGGCGTAAACTATACACCCCCCTAAAAGCCCATGTGACTGGGACTGGAGAGCTGGCTCAGCGGTTAAGAGCACTGGCTGCTCTTGCAGAGGACCTGGGTGGGATTCCCAGCACCCACATGGTGGCTAACAACCATCCATATCTCAAGTTCCAGAAGAATCTGACGCCTTCTTCTGACCTCCACGGGCACTGCACGACACGGGTGCACCTACATATATATGCAGGCAATATACTCGTAGATATAAAATAAAAATAATAAGATATTTTTAAAGCCCAAGTGACTAGTGAGCACAGTATCTTCACACACAAAGGTCATAGCATTTAACTCATCAATACCAGCTGGAGCCGAGGGGTGAGTGCAGGGGGCCCAGCACTGCACCCGGGGCCTGACGGCCCAACCCAGAGAGCCAGGCCTTCAGGACTGAGGGCACCAGGGTCCCCCCCTCACCAACCCATTGCACTACCTCGGTTTCCCGGGTTCACTTGTGTGCGTGCGTGTGTGTGTGTGTGTGTGTGTGTGTGTGTGTGTGTGTGTGTGTATGTGTGTGTGTGGACAGTCCCTGCCATTGGTCCCTGCCAGCTCTCTGACTGCTTTCAGCTGCTTTGGGGGAGCTGAGGTATATGTCAGTTGGGGATCAGATGGGGCTAATTCTACTCCTTGTCAAACCTGCTCTGCCATCTCCACAGGTGATGGAGGCAGGTCATGGCATCAGACGGGCTCGCTCTCACCCACCTCCAGGGCAGCAGGGCCTCCTACTGGGAGAATGCCTGGTAGCCAAAGTTGTCTGATGGGAGTTTGAGGTTGTATTTCCGGCTTGTCCTCTGGTAGCGCAAGATCAGAAGGACCGTGGCCCCCGCGACCACAGTTAACCCAGCCGCTGCAATAAGGAGGGTGGGACCAGTCCCCAGCCCTGGCCTTGTCTGTGCAGGTGCACCTGTGCGTGAGACAGGGACCATGTAAGAGATGCGCCAGGGCCAGGGCCAGTGTGTGTCTGTGGCCGGCACACAGGCCCAGTGACCACGAAGCTGCTGGGAGGCAAGAGGTGCATTAGAGGACGGGCACAGCATGACATCTCCCCTGCTCACTGCTTCTTAGCAGCTCCGGATTTGGTCTGGGACCCCCCAGAGGCGAAGCCCTGCATGTGAGCGTGGGAAGTCAGGGAGGCCCTCGGCCCTGTGAGGGCAGCTCAGCCTGCTCAATGTGCAGGGATAAGCCTCCACCTAGAAGGGGCTGTGTAGAGCCTCTGGACCCCCTCAGGGCTGGAAAGTCAGTGAGGTCTGCACAGGAAGACACAGTTGAGCCTGTGTACCACCAATGTCAGGGCCCACCCCAGGCTAGAGGAGCAACCAAACCCCGGGAGAGTGTAGACCCCAAAGAATGGAAAACAAATGCTCAGACAGTTGCCTGTACACTCATGTCCATAGCAACATTAGTCACAGTGGGCAAACGGCAAACACAGCCCCATCAGCATGTGAATGGAGGAGCCAACTGTGACCCCGTCATGCAATGGAACTTTTGTTTGCTTTTGGGGGCTGTTGTTTGAGCCACAGTCTGACGAGGTCCATGGCCCATAAGTCTGAAACAGAAAGCAAGCCCTTAGAAACACTTGTCACAATTTGACAGAGTGTATCTCATGGCACGGGGCCTCTGTCTGTTCACATAAGGCCCCACGCATCACAGGACCTGCGTGGGTCCTGCAGTCAGACCCTGTATGACCATGAAGCAGGGAAATTTCCGTAAGTGCAGACACTGAGCGTGTGAAGGACTTAATCCCAGAGAGGAGCGCACAAACAGCAAGTCCCCAGTGTGATGCACACACAGCAGAAGCAAACCCTCCAAGAGCATGCCCATGTACACCAGAAACAAACTCTCCTGGTACTAAAGGTCCCAACTCGCTGTTCTGGGACCACCCAATGGCCTCAGTAGTCATCCTAGACATTTGCACATCTCACAGATGCAAGACGTATGCTACTGAAGTTACCTATGCGCTAAAGATACAGTGTAGTCTCAACTCCCCAAACCGCAGAACGTGGCCTCATGTGGAAAACACTGTTGGGAGATCAGTGAAGATGAGACCACACTGGAGGGGCCCTAATCCAATAGGACTAGCATTCTTATAAGAAGACGGCCATTCTTATAAGAAGACAGAGCCACTCAGGGGAGAAGGCTGTGGAAAGATGGAGCAGAGACTGACATATTGTAGCTGTGGGCCAGTGAGCTCAAAGATGGGCTGCAGCCAGAGGCACAAAGGTACTCAGCAGATCTCAGATGGAGTGAGGCCTGCCCACATCTCAGGCTTCTGGACCTCAGAACCATGAGAACACACCTCTATGGTCCCAAGCCACTCGGTCTGTAGTGTTTTGTCATCATGGTACAGACTACTCATGCATGTGAGGGCTGGAGTTGGTGGCTGGAGCCCTTGGGAACAAAATCAAGCACGCTGGCTCTGCCCTTGATGGCCCAGCTCACCCTGGTTCCAGCTTCGTGACTGTATCAACATTGCCCCAGATCTCAAAGTGGGTCTCATGTGTTTCTGGCAGGGAGGTGATGGTGGTGAGAGCAGGGGCAGAGGCAAGACCCTGAAGGAGCGTGCCTACTGGTCTCTCCTCACCAACGCCCTGGATCCCACTGCAGATGCCATGTCCAAGTGATTTTTTGTTTATTTGTTTGAGAGTGTTGTGGGGAGCTAGTAAGACAGGAAGAACGGTGACCATGAGCCACGGGAGACCTTGTTTAAAGCCTGACCAGTTACACCTTGTTGCAGTGCATCTGCGATGGTCCAGTGACTTGGAGCTCTGTTCATTATAAATGGCAGCAACTAACTCTTATCCAGAAACTTCCATGGGCTCCACTCTGGCTGAAGTAGAAGTACTGTCCACACTTCACAACAGGGAAATGAGGCCATGAGAGATAGTGTGCCCAAGTCACAGAAGAATTATCACCAGCCAGGTTTTGAATTCAGGGAGCCTCACAGAATAGGGACGATCAAAATACCTGCATTACTATAGTCACACTAGATACAACGCGGGGTGAGGGGGGAAGCGGGGAAATTTGCTCTAATTCCCACCTCACAAAGAAAAACCAGGGTGCCTCACACATAATGGATGGATAGATAGATAGATAGATAGATGATAGATAGATAGATAGATAGATAGATAGATAGATAGATAGATCATACATACATACATACATACATACATAGATGATAGGTAGATAGATGGATGGGTAATCAACAGATGGCTGGGTAGATGGATGATCAATTACTAGATGGATGGATATATGAATGGATGGATGGATTGATAAAGACTAACTATATATTTGGATGTCACAGAGATGGATAGGTACAATCATGATAGATGGATGACAGCTGGATGGATCAGTGGGTGGATGGATGGATGGATAATGGATAGTTGGGATCTAGAAGATTCTGCCATTTTCCAAAGATCACACAGCCCTTGCATCACAGCCTATAATAAAACCCAGGTCTCCTAACTGCAGGTCCAACACCTCTCACACTCGTTATAAGCTCTCCCCTAATGCCTATGAATATATGGGAAGATGCTGTTTTGACTAATGAAAGAATATGACACACATACATTCTTTCTTATCGGGGCCTCAGGTTGACCGGTTCTCCACAGCAATTTAAGAGACTAAAAGGTGTAGAAAAAGCATATGGTTCTAGAACCTCAGTCAGCAATTATCTGAGGAACCCCACCTGGGTCTGGCACCCAACTCAAGATATTCAGAGTTCAGGGCGTGGCCTGGTAGCTGTGTCTACTGTCCCATCTTCCCAAGCACTTGGATGAAAAGCAGCCATTGAGAAACACCAGCCAAGACCCATCCACTGCTTCCTCCTCTTACCACATCACGAGCAGCACCTGTACCCCAGTTCCGACCCTGGAGCCAAATCCAGGAGTTCGTATGCAGGAACATGTAGACGGGCACAGAAACCGCCAAGGTTAGCAGAAGTCGACAGACAAAGAAAACCAGCCATGTTATTAGGCTCCACAAGCAAGAGAAAGACAAATTAGCCATGGCGTAATTCTTTGTTTCTGGCATAGAGATGAGAGGTCAGTGTCCAGGCCTGGCTGGGCCACTCCCCCAAGCCCTGGGGATCCAGGCTCCTCCAGCCCACTGTCCCCAGGGTCCTTACAGCCACAGGTGGCTTCTGGCCATCTGATTTGCATGCAGGGGGTCAAGGAAGAAGAAAGTAGCCAGGGGTGGCACAGGACGGTCCTTGAGGAGGGTTCAGAACTCACACCCATGGTCACGCTCGGCTGCCAGGGAGGCTGGGAACCCCAGTTTTCACTCCTGGCGGCCACGTGCCAGCGAAAGCCCAAGTGTTTTCTTAGTATAGAAAGGGAGGAGACCAGAAACGGGGGGTGGGGGGCATCTAGAAGCTTCTGTCTTAGTACCCAAAGCACACAGACTCCTTACTTTTCCCCCACATATTAAATCATAGGGAACAAAAAGTGTGTCAGAAAAATTGATTTTGAAACTATATGAACATAATTGGCTGGTGGGAGTTTTATTCTCAGTGAGAACTGAATTTTTTGTCATCTTCTAAGTGGAACTGCTTTTTCATGTGCGCGCTCACTCATACATGCACACGCGCAGACTCTGCCACTGTCTGTTCAGAGCCTGAATTGTCCCTCTTTGCACCCACTTGATGTACTTACCCAGGTTCAGAAACCTTCCTTGCTTCCCAGACACAGGTCCCATATCCCATCACTCAGCACTCTAGACCTCTGGGAGCTGGGGCTTCTGCCCACAGCAGAAACACGGCGGTGGCAGATCCCCCTCTCAGGGTGACCAAGGGGAATAGATCCTGTCCCCTATAGGAAGACCCCAGCCTCATGCTGGCACATAGTAGGATCCTCAAGGAATAGTTTAGCCACGGTGGTTTTTACTCTCAGGAGTCTTTTAGGAAAGTCTTTAAAGCCCGGTGTTTCGAAGCAGGTGCTGTGGGGTTTGCACACTGCTGAAACAGGATTTCTTTGCTTTCTAAACAGAGCAGACTTACCTTCAGACCTAAACAAGGGCCCCCAGGTCATCTGGTGCATCGCCTCATTATTTCTCAGCAGCCGGAAGTCACTGCAGCTCTGTTTGTGTTTTGAAAGAGAAACTGTTAGTCTAGCAACACTTGGGGCGTGAACTCACTATCTGTGACTAGGGTGTTGAGCCCCTGGACACGTAAGTCTAGATGGGAACATGGGAGCAATGGGGAGCCTGGAAAGCAGACTTTGCCCTGTGAAAAACACTGCCTGGTTCAGTGGCACAGCACACTGTACCACTCGCTGTATACTCACATGGGCTTTCCAGGAATATGTTTGCATCCTAATTCCAGTCCTCTGACTGATTATTTGCAAAGATGATCAAGTAGAGATGAGCTCTAACCCCAGAGGTGGGGTCCTTGTAAAAGGGGAATCTGGACACAGAGACAGACTCAGGACAAACAACATCCACAAGCCAAAGAATGTTGGACCCACAAGAAGTTGGGTGAGGCCCCAGTCAGTCTCCCGCACCATTCAGAAGGACCCAGCCCATGACACTGTGGGATCCTGGACTTCTAGTTGGACAGTGAGTCTCTGGTGTTTCCGTGGCCCAGTGGCTCCTTGTCTGGAAACTCTAGAAACTAATGCAATGTCTACTCTAAAGGAACTTGGGGGACCAAGGTCAAGGTCAGGTTGCAAAGACTTAGAGAACCAGAAGCTCTCCACAGAGGAAGGGCTGCTGTGACTGCTGGTCCTACTGTCCCAGGACCTGATGGCTCCGGGCACATACTGGAGCAAACCTCTCTGTGGGTGTCCAGTCACCTGTCCCTGCAGGAAGGCTAACTGTGTGAGGAAAGGGACATCAACTGAATGACCTGACACTGTCTCCTCATCCACATTCTGCTAATGGCCAGAGGCTGTCACCTGGGAGAACTGCAGTCTGTGTCCCTCAAAGATGGGGACAGGGCAAGCGTGTCCCCCTCAAAAAGAGGAACATGTGTGGTTTGAGCAAATGAAAATGTAGATTATTCATCGGTCCCACGTGAATGCTGAGCATGAGGGACGTGAAAACTCCACAGAAGCCAATAGCTAGTGATACTCCAGCCGTATTGCTAAAGTGATATTAAATGGAGATATCATTTCTATACCTAGGGTTCTATAGTGAACTGAGGGTAATGTGAGGAGGGACTCAGGGATGGGAGGCAGCTCCAAGTGGTCTGAAGGGAAGAGGAGGGGGACAAGAGATCATAATGTGATGTGTGTGTCCTTAAAGCAAGACGGAGGGATCTTGGGGGAGAAAGGGGACCAGGAAGAAGGGAGAGGGGAGAACAAAGTGTAATGATAAATACATAGGAAAATGTCACAGCAAAACCCACTTCTTTGTACAGACACATCCAGAATGTGTCACTCCCCATCCCGGGCCCTCCCTCTGAGCTGCTCCCTGCTGAACATCACTCCAGATGTGGCACTTCTGCCCAGAAATCCCTGGAGCCCTGGGTTCTATCGGCAGGGCGGCTCTCCAGGGTTAGCACGTTAACAGGCCGTGGAGGAAGGAACCAGTACTCACTATCTTGCATGAGGCCTCTGGGCTCTCCATGCAGACCCGTAATTTGCAGTGCAGGTATACAATGGAGTTGTTGATAAAGGAGAAGATTCTCAGCTTGAACTGGGCCTTACTGGAGTCGCCGTTCTGGATCACACTGGTGTAGGTGTTAGGAACAGGGCAGCTGAGGGAGGGAACGAGACACGTTAGGTCAGACAGCCCCCCCCCCCGGCTGCTGCACAGGCAGGCTTGCTTATGACCATATCTGTCCCCTCCTAGGCATCCTGCAGCCTTGAGAGTCAGAGGACCCACTCAGTCACCAAGTCCCCAAACCCAGGTCCAGATCAGCATTTGCCTAGAAACTCCGAGGAGCTCAAAGCAAGTGATAGGGCTGAGTAAGGTGGCCCATGCCCACCTGGGCCCACACCTGTTATTGATGAAACCAAAGGTGACAGGGTCCCCGGCGTTGCTGGAGGGGGTGGCCCAGCACTCAGTCAGCACCACCTTCAGGCTGCTCTTCTTCCTGTGGAGCTCCACTTCAATCTTGATCTCATCACTGGCAGACACGCTATAGTTTTGAGGTATGGGAGAATCTCCAATGAACAACTGCATTTCAGTGACAAAATTCCCAGCACCGTGGAGGTCTTCAATGATGGTGTAGACCCTGGGGAGGGGGGAGGCTGTCAGCAGGTTCACTTACACAGCTCCTTCGTCCAGGTCCTCCCTCACAATGAGCAACGCTAGAGAAGCCTAGAAATCAGTAGGGTCTCCAGGTGAGAACCCACAGAGATCCCCTTGCACAGCGGCTGCAGGAAGTGCAGTGTCCTGGAGAGAGGGAGGCCATGGCGGAGGCTGTGAGCCTGAGGACCTGAAGCCTGCTCACCAAAAGCTGGGCCTCCTACCTGATCAGCTACGGGGGAGGTATTTGCTCATCTCTAATTAATCCTACATGGGACTTGGGGGAAATGAGGGAAGCTGGCAGTTAGCACAAGTCCTGTCCGCTCATGTTGTCACACTCGAGAAGACTCTCAAATGGTTGACACCCCAAAGAGCCAAGTGAAGGTGCCTGAATGAAGCCAAGCTGTGTGGAGGTGGGCGCGGCCACCCACTCACCCCCACTGTGGTGTGTAGCCGGAGGACGTCAGTAAGTCGTTGCGGAAGGCACAGTGGATGGGACTCAGGATCTGCAGGTAGTGGATGACACCCTCTGGGGACAGGTCATTCCTCAGCGTGGTCCTCACCACGGTGCTGGTCATATTCTGAGCACAAAGAAACTGGATGTGAGCAAGCTCCTGCGTGTCAGGGGACCCCCAGGCCCAGCCGCAGCTGCACTTAGGGGACGGAGACTTATCCCCAAACACAAAAGCCCTGACAACTATCCCCTAATGTCACCCGCCAGAGAGCGCCACGTCAGGCTTTGGCTTCTGCCTGTAGCCCCTGCCCTGTTCACCGAAAGGAGTCAAACATGCTTATGGATACGTGCTCTGTCATGCATGTAGAGCTGTCTCTTTGTGACAGTCGCAATGTCTGACAACATCAGACCATCAGGAATGGACCCCAGAGCTTGGGTGATAAAGACCAAACAACAGAGCTCCCTTTTCCAGCCCTGAACCCAGCTGGACTTTCAAACTCAGTATTTGGCTCAGAACACAGAGCCAAGTCCAACCTTCCATCTGCCAGCTCCTCTACTCCGTCCCCACAAAGAGGTGTTGACTCACTGGAAACAGCCTGACCTCAGAAGACACCTGAGCCCCTCACAGCTGCACTAATCACAATGGCTGCTCACCTGTGGGGCAACTGGGAGGCAGTGGGGCCTTTAGGGAGTGGGGCCTAGTTGGAGTACCTTAGGGAATTGGGGGTATACCCTTGAAGGACAGTGAGACCCTAGGAACCTCTCTGTCTCTGTCTCTCTCTCTCGCTCTCTCTCTCTTGCTCCACAATGTGTGTGTGTATATATA